GTGTGTGTGTGTGTGTGTGTGCCCGATTGGTGGTGGTATTCATGTTTTGGGCGCATCTTACGATTAAGTGTTAAATCCACTCTGAAGTGCCTTCGAGGACTGCAAGTCTTGTGCTTCGAAAGGGTTCGTCTGTCTGAATGGCCGAAGGACTTCACAAGGTTTCTGCCAAAACACTGCCACACTTTTGGGGCTCCAGAAATGCATTTTAATGCATTTTATTCCCTTTATTGAATTATTATTAATTTTGGATAATTTTTTTGCAGTGTTTTTCATCGAAACACGAAGGACATCAAAGAGTACTCATACGCACATTGAGTCCTTTCTTCGTGTCTGCAATGATTTATCAAGTATTCCTGAATCCACACAGAAATCTCTGGCTTTGAAGGCAAAGCCAAAATATTTTGCCACTCCCCAAAATCCCGCCCGAAACCGCAGTCCGTAATCCGTAATCCGCCATCCTCGTGTGTTTCTTGGTCCGCAGTTCAGTGAACTCTGACACTCCGGAAAATGTGTGTGTTCCGTTTCGTTTCGTTCCATTCCGTTCCGTTGGATGATGTCTGTCCGCTGTGCATATCACTCACGTGGTGGGAAATTTTTTCTTTGCTCTGTGTCTGTTTTTGATTCTGTTGAGTCATTTCAATTTGTCTTTGACAGTCACGAGTTTTGCCTGCCAGTCGAGGAATTTCTCTCGCATCGAATGGGGGGGCATGGGTGGGGGAACGAGGGGGGATTGAGGCTGCCAACAGCAGCAGCAGCAGAGGCAGCGGCATATTGAGTGCAGGCCAAAGCTAATTTAAATATGAAAAACATTTCCTATTTCCTGTCCGCCAGAGGATTGCCAAAAGAAAACTCACACACACACACACAGAGACAGAGAAAAAGAGAGAAAGAGAGAGAAATAATTGCTGGCAGAAGTCAATCAAGGGGAACTCCTGCCAATCGCCTCAGCTGATGCTTGTGTGTGCCGTGCCGTGCCTCCTGCTGTGCCCGCAGTCTCTCTAGTTGCCACACACACACACACACACACATATTATTCATACGCAGCGTGACACCCAAGAAAAGCTGAGCGCCCAAGAGCACTAAAAAAAGACGAAAGGAAAAACCCATAAAATATATGGCTCAAGCAGCAGCAGCAGCAGCGAAAAGCCGAAGTCGAAGTGAAATGCTTCAACTAAATAAAATACATTTTTCTCGTGCATTAAATTTTTTGCCCGCCTCAATTGCCGGGAAAAGCTGCTCAGTGCCCCCTGCCTGAGTGCAGTGCCCCCCCCCCCCCCCCATGCCCCATGCCCCATGCCCCATATCCCATGCCCCATTCCCCCGTGTGTGTGTGTGTACCAGCATGGTACAGTCGTGATTGCGGGCACATAATTTTAGCTTTAATATATGATACAAGCACATATGCACACACGTACACATATGTATATGTATATATATATGTACTTCGTACTCGCATGAAAATGAAAATGAAAATGCATTTCACATTGCAGATTTGTCATTCACACCCCAGCACTGAGAGGCACTGCGAGAGGCACTGTGAAGCATTGCAAAAATTCTATATTTTTTTGGGCATGGAAATGGCATCTCGCTTTTACGGGGGATGGGGGAGGTGGCATACGGGGCATGGAGGAATGCCAGAGAGCCAAAAATGAAATGCAAATTAAACGCTTTAATATCTGTGCGCAGAGTGCACTGGTCCATGATATTGTCAAAAGCAGGAAAAGCAGGGAAAAACTGGAAAATGCTGGCCCATGTCGGGGGGGGAGGGAGGGCTGAAAACTGAATGACAAAATTGAGTCGAGTGCAGTCGAACGAAAATTGGTTACGACGATATTGAATTCAATTGATTTGCAAAGCGATTAAGGATTAAGTCGGCTCTGGCCTAATGGAAATGAACTAGTTCTTTTCGTTTCTTTAAGGTGAATACCCTTGATCTGAGCTCTGGCCGGGGCTACGGGATGTATTCTTCGGAATCGAATGCTGCAAAAGAGAAGGCCTGAATATTCCAGCAAGGCTCGGGACTGAGAGCGTGAATCCAGGGACATTGTGGAACATTTCGGAGCAGTGGGCTTGCATCAGAAAGCTTTAGGGTTGTCTTTCAAAGCAGAACTAGTTCTTTATTTAAAGTTAGCTCCAAACTTTGATCTGCCATGAATGGCTACTACTGCACTGTAGATTCTACTGGGAACATCATATGATTACTCTCGGCAGTCGAAACATCTCTGCATTCAAGGGAACTAGTTCCATTTTGGGGGCCTTTTCGTTTGATTGCATAAACCGCATCCACACACGAGTTGTGTGTGTAGCCTCTTCAAGTCGTAAATCTCCGCCTCACTTTGCGGGCTGCATTCTGATTTGGCTATCCGTACGAGCCGCCACCGCCCCCGCAGTGAATCAGCGAGAATTTGTGTTTACCCCAAAACGTATAAGCACTCCCCCGAATTGGCCTGGCTCAATGGGGTGCGGACGGACAGCCCGGGGGGATGGGGATGGGAATGGGAATGACAATCGCTCACAGTCGTTTGGTCATTAAGTCATTTAGTCATTCACTCAGTGCAATAAATGCCGATAATAAATGGGGGGCGGATCCCCCCCATCAACCGAAAACCTTTTCCAAAATCCTCACAGAACCCCAGCAATCGATGGGCAGATGAGAAGTTTTCAGCCAAGGCTTTCGGTATCAAACTGTCCGTAAATTGAGAGTCGCTTTGCTCTTGGGGGGGAAAAAGTGTCGGTGGATAAGGCATCGTGTGGCAGCATCAGGCTGCCCCCTGCCTTGCCGGTTGATGGTTTTGGCGCACGCTGCGTATGAGTAATGTCTGCCCCATATTACCCCCTCACGTCGCCCGCCCTCTCTCTGCCTCTCTCGTTATCAGTTTAAGTGGAATGAATAGACGCACACACACACGCACGCACACGTACACACTCTCGCATAATTAGTCACATGTGTGTGTGTGTGTGTGTGTGTGTAAATTAAAAAATTTGCTCAAAGAGAACTATTATTAGAATTCTTGTAATAATAACCTGAAAAATGCTTGAGCTTTCTCTCTCTCTCTCTCTCTAACACACACTGTACCTGTCTCGCTCTATCATGCGAAAGATATTAAAATAATTGCGGTATTTAAAAATTTGCAACTGTTGTTGTTGTTGTTGAATTTGTTGTTGCTTCTGGCGCTAATGAGCGTTAATCAAATGCGAACAGCTGCAACAATCGGTTGGGCAATCGGTAGGGCAATCGGTGGGGCAATCGGTTGGGCAATCGGTAGGGCAAACGGTAGGGCAATCGGTAGGGCAATCGGTAGGGCAATCGGTAGGGCAATCGGTGGGGTAATCGGTAGGGCAATCGGTGGGCAATCGGTAGAGCAATCGTTAGGGAAATCGGTGGAGCAATCGGTAAAGCAATCGTTAGGGCAATCGGTATGGCAATCGGTAGGGCAATCGATGGGGCAATCGGGGGGCAATCGGTAGGGCAATCGATGGGGCAATCGGTGGGGTAATCGGTAGGGCAATCGGTGGGCAATCGGTAGAGCAATCGTTAGGGAAATCGGTGGAGCAATCGGTAAAGCAATCGTTAGGGCAATCGGTATGTCAATCGGTAGGGCAATCGATGGGGCAATCGGTAGGGCAATCGGTAGGGCAATCGATGGGGCAATCGGTGGGGCAATCGGTAGGGCAATCAGTAGTGCAATCGGTAGGGCAATCGGTAGAGCAATTGGTAGGGCAATCGGAATGACAATCGGTAGGGAAATCGGTAGGGCAATCGCCCCCCAAAAGTGCCCACCAAAATCGCAGCTAAAGGCATGGCGGCGCTCAGAAGAGAATTTATGAAACATTCGCGTAGGTAAGGCATTTTAATCGTTAGATAGAAGGTGGAAGTGCGTAACGCCCAGCTGGATCAAGGGGAACGAGAGGGAGGCAGAGTCCAAATGGAAATTAAATTTATTTGAGAAAGAGACGGACGGCTACTGATAGTCGTTGTATATCTCTCATTCCAAATAATGACGATGATAATGATGATGATGCTACCGCTGCCGCCGCTGCTGCTGCTGCTGATGAAGTGCCAGGCAAGGACGCATGCCGGCTGTCTTAGAGGGCACTCGACACAGGCCCAGACAGGGTGCTTCAACACGAAAACGAAGACACAAAAAGGTGTTCTCTGTGATGAGGTTTGCAAATGATTGGAGCTTTCAATCAACCGTTTACCAGTGGAAGTGGTATACTATATATACATACTCTATATCTCTGAGATATGCCACTATTTCTGGCATCCCGATAGAATCACTGTATCCTATAGCATCCATGCAAACGATGGATCGATGAAGATCTCTTGCAAATCGATCTGTGATTAAGTAGTTATGTAATTCTCGGATCTGGTCGAATACTCGGATGTTCCTTCTGGGATGTCGGCTGTGGGTTCTCCCGTCGATTAATTTCCTGTCGATTTGGCGACACCCTGTATTCTCAATAATTGAGCAAGTGCTGTTCATGTTGTTGCTTAAGTTGTTGCTGCCACTCTCTTGCTCCCTTCTGCTGCTGATGCTCCCTCTAATGATGATGATGCTGCTGCCGCTGATGATGATGATGATGAAAAGCAAGCAAAAATCTTAAATAAAATAAAAATAAAAAGGTATACAAGCAAAATGACACACAAAAAAAAACAGAGACAGAGAAACAGAAACAGAAACAGAAAGAGTAGAAGAGAGAGAGAGACAGAGAGAGGGGCACACAGTTGTAGAAATATATATATGTATGTATGTATATATATATATTTTTTTTTAAGTTGAATATAATTTGTTTCTTACGTTACGTTGCTCTCCTCAGCCCCAGCCTCAGCCGCTGCTCTGTCGTCGTCGTCGTCGTCGTCGCCGTCGTCTACTATAATTTTTCTTTTTCACTTTTGTTGGATTTGTGTTGGTTTTTTCTGTATTTTCGCTGGCCACGCCGCGGGACGCGCTTCATTCTCGGTCAGCGCGCGCTCGTGGAAAATTCGAAAAAGCCCCCCAAAAACAACACAAGACCGAAACCGAAACTGAACCCGAAAGAAACCCCAACAAGATCGAACCAAGAAAGCAATTAAATTTCAAATACTCGCATTCGTACCCATAAATTAAACGATTACAGTCGATGCTCGTAACTCAAATCGAAAGATAAAGCCCCGAAAGATAGTTGCCCCAATTGGGGGCCCGACGCCCGCCCAAGTGGAGGAAAAGAGAAACAAGTGATATTCAAGTTTTTCCACATTTTATTGTGCAATTAATTTGTTGTTCATTTGAACTTTTTTTTTCGAGTGAGATTTTGTGAGTGTTTTGGTGATTGGTGATTGTTGATTGTTGATTGTTGATTGGTGTGTTTTTTGGTGGTCCAAAATGTTGAACAAAAACTCTGCCTCGTCGCAGTCGCTGCCGCGTGTGCACAGCTTCTTCAATATGATACCATCGATCATGCAGGACGATCTGGCTGTGACCATACTCGCCGATCGGGACAATATGTTCTCCATTAAGTCGCAGCGCAGGTAAAGTCCCCCCCCAAATCGATCAAACCAATCCCGTGACCAGAAACCATCTATGGCTCGCCCTCAAAATAGTTCGCCGCTCACTTGCTCGTTTCCCCTCCTACATAACTATATAAATCGCGTGTATATACTATATATCGATGGCTATATATGTATGTATAGTATGTAGATACAATATATATTTATATTCCAATTTAATGACACTAAACAAGATGTCTTATTCGCGATGTTGCTGCTGCGTGTTTCGCTTCTTCGATGTACGAGTGTTCCTTTATTATTTATGCTCTACTGGGGCTCCTCCACACACACAGAGAGAAAAGTCTAACGAGAAAACTATCAAAATGGATCACTGTAATGGTCTTTCAGGTTGAAGAAGGAGAGTAGAACTAGCAGAAGAGCTCTGTGTGCCATCAACTAATATTCAATAAGGCCAAGGCCCTATCCTAAGAAGAAAGAGGAATTCCAAATCTTTAAAAACTGGACCTGCAGCCTTTAAAACTTCTTCTGAGACCCAAGAAACGAAAGAAGATCAGTCGTAATCCTTCATAATGATACCAAATGATAGGGATACAGGATGAAGGCAGGATTTCCCGCTGGTTTTCTGTCCTATTTGATGGGGTTTCTATAGTCATTTAAGACTTTTGGATTGAATTGACTTCTGTAAAGCCAGTGAAGGACTCTCTTTTGACCTGTTGCCCGCCATCCTACTCGTACCTACCCCCCCTTCGATCCCTCCCCCTAAAGACCATTGGGGGAGGGATGAGTCATTGTGTTTTGAACCCAAAACGGGGGCCTGCAAAATGCGTCGCAGTATTAATACCCCCCCAAAAAGAAAAACAAAAAATATAACGGGCCAAAGAAAATGCGAAAACTGTCTACCCCCGCCTCATCCCCCCCCCTCAACGACGCGTCAAATGAAAATGACAAATCAGCGGCAGAAAAAAAGAAAGAAAAAAAAAACCACACACAAATGAGTCTGGTATCCCCATCGCCCCCCATCACCCCCCCCCCCATCCCCCCCCCCCCCCCCCCCCCTGAATGCTGCTGCAGTTGCCGGCACTTTTCCATCGACAGTGTGGAGGTGGATGGGGAGGATGGATCGAATGGAATTGGAATTGGGCTAGGGATTGGGTGGATGGATGGATGGACGGATAATGTCGGCCCGATATCTGTTGTATATGCCTTACGTCTCTCGATGATACGATGATCCATCCGAAATCCGAAGTGTGCGACGTGCCAGAAATCAGGCAAACAAACAAATGTGTTAAACAAATAGCGCGAGACGGCTCTGGCGGTGGCGGAGGAGCGACCCCAATGTGGCACAGAGGCCGCAGATTGCCGAGCACGGAGGCGCGCGGACACGGAGCCTGTAAATGAGCTGCCATTGTTGTTGGTAGTGATGCTAATGTTGTAGTTGTTGTTGTTTCTGTTGTTGTTGCTGTGGTTATGGCCGCAAAGGAGGTCAATTTTACAAGCGTCAAAAGTTGTTTCAATGGGAAAACATTTTTCATGCCACCAGACCAATCTCTCTTTCTCTCTCTCTCTCTCTCTCTCTGTGTGCGTGGCAGAAATTGCTTTTCATATTTATTTTCAATTTTTTGTTGCGTCCCGAAACGATTTTCATTGTCGGAGGCGGCGACACAATTAGCGGTTAAAGCGATCAAATGTGCAACAAAGCCAGGCTTCCGACTAGCTTGCTACCCTTGAAAGTCAAGGAAATCTTGGGGATCCAAAGTCAAGGAAATCTTTGGGGTCTTTAAGGTTGAATCTTGAAGCCTTTTAAATTTTAAAGGGCATTCCCTTTTTTGGGAATTTATTGGGATACGGGAATACCTGTATGTAAGGGGTGGCACAAACATTTGGAATAATAAAATACTTATTTAATTTTAATCGTTCTATAATAAGTATTTTTTTTTTTTTTAATTTAATATAAAACAAGCAGAGTTTAAAAAACAAAACAAAAAGCGGGTTATTCCTATACGAAAAATACCTAAGATATTTAATTGTGTATAAAAGTGTTCTCTAAACGAACTGTTTCAAAAAAGATCCCGACTAGCGGTGTCCCCTGGCATTGGGGCATTTCAAAAGTACTCAATTATCTGCTTTGATGGAAGCCCAAAAAGGTCTTCAAATAAAATCAAGAACCTTTCAATACAACCATTCTAGAAGCCCCTGTATTTCAATTTAATTCGTTGGCGCCATTCTCTGTCTGTGTCTGTGTCTTTTTGTGACGTCACTGATGCCCACCGTGTACGCCCTCGCATCTGTGTACATATATGTACACATTTATATATATTATCCATTTTACTTTTTATTATTATTAATTTATGCCAATTTTTTTTGTTTGTCAACTTTTTCTTTGGCCAGCGATTTGCTTCGTTTGGTCATTTCGATTTTCGGTTTTTCGGCTTTTTGTCCTCTTTTTTTTGTTCTTATTTTTGGCACAGAGCAAAATGTTCAAAGCAAGTGGCTCGTGTGCCACTAAGGAGAGGCACCCAGCCCGGTCCCCATCCTCCCATATATCCTCTTCTTTTTAATTTTTTTTTTCTATATGTTTTCCTCAATTTCTGTGGAATTTTCAACTGCCAAAAAACACAAAAAAAAAAAAAACGGAGGAAGAGTGTGGCGAAACTTGGCCGTCGTGATGGCGTCCTTTGGCGGACCCTGAGTGTGCGGGTGGGATGGGTGGTATATTGAGGCCAGACACTGACCTTTTTGGCCGCTTGCACTCACGTTCTACTCCTACTCCTTGGCTGTTGGTTGGAAAACATTCAGCCATTTCGAGCACTACGAATTTCACGTTTTCGGTAATCGAAATGGCATCCATTGCAATGCCGCAGAACGGCAGGAAAACATTGTCAGATGCCAGATGTTGGGGGGTAATATTCAATAGTTTCATGAAACTCAAAAATATACACATAGTACACAAATATTTATGTATGTCCTAAAATAGAAAATAAAAACCATATTTGTATTTGTTTTTTAATTAGACCTCGTGCATGTTTTAAAAAATGCTTTATACATAATTCATATGCCATAAACCCATCGAATACTTATGGAATATCCTTACTTATGCCTACTTTTTTCTCTTTCTCTTTGTGTTTCCGCAGCCATGGCGAGGATCTCATTGTGACGCCGTTCGCCCAAATTTTAGCCAGCTTACGTTCAGTGCGCAACAATTTATTAAGTCTGACAAATGTTCCAGCATCAAACAAGTAAGTGTTGTACTTCGTGACCTTGGCCAGCAGAGGCCCAAAGGCCCAAAGGCCCAGCGCCCAACCCGACCCGACCCCCACACGACCCCGCGCCAACCCGTCGCCCGCCCCCCGTCCCACTCAGTGAAGAGACATTCAATTTGTTGTGTACTAAAAGATGTACTTGACCCCAAAACTCAAAAGTGAAATCTTTTCCAACCCCACCCCTCCCCCCTCCAGCCGCCCCTCCCTCGTTCGGCTCTCTGTCTGTGTTTTTGCCTGCTCTTTGCTCGCTCTAACCAACCCATCTAACCCCACTACTATTACTACTCCCCCCCCCCCCCCCCCCCCCCCCCCCCCCCCTATCTCTCTCTTTCTCTGTCCAGCTATCTGTCACCCTCCTGCGCCCCTCACACCCTCTTTTGTGCTCTCGGTGTGTTTTTGTCGTCTCACACTTTAATTAATCAAAAGCATAAAAATACAAATACAAATAAAATACAAATAAAAATACAAATAAAATGCAAGTAAAATAAATAAACAAAAAAAAAAAAGCCAGTGACAACAACAACAACAACCATAACAGTAGTTACAGCTAAAAGCGGGGGGGTTTGGGGGGAAGAATTTAGTATTTCATTTTCATCTTACCCCCACACCCTTACCACCCCTGCCACCCTACCACCCTCCCGCCCAGCAACCTCTCGACTAACAATAACTTTTGATGGTCTTTGGGTAAATGTGTATTTTATAACGAATAAAAATAGAAATACCCACGAAAATGAGAGAAGAACCCTTTGGAAAAGGTTGAAGGTCCCCGGGACTTATCGGCATGGCTTCCCCCTCAACCCCCAACCCCACTCTCTATCCCTTGCACACCCACTTCTACTTCAACAGAAATGACGTGAAACGTGCCAAAAATATCGCAAAAAAAAATTATAGAAAATACAACAACAAAAATAAGAAATCCAAAAAAAGATTTTTTTGAATCGAGGTGTTATTTATACACAGAGCTTTTTTCATATTTTCCCAAGAATATATGTATATATGTTTATGTAAATGTATGTGAATGTGTGCATGTCGTTGGGTTGCTGGGAAAAACAAAAAAAAAAAACTTAAATTTAGAGCAGACAAAGATATGGGAAATATTTATATATATTTTCAAGCGAAAATCTCGACACGGGTTGTTCAACCAGGAACACAGCACTCAGACACGGACTTGGACACGGATACGGACTCGGACACGGACTCGGACACGGACACGGACTCCGTTGTGGCATTGTTTGGTTGTTGATTGTTTTTGTTACCCTTCCCCCCCTCCCCCACCTCTCTTAAGCTCTAAATGACTTGCCATTGCCCCCAGCCCCCCAAACGCCCGCCCATTAACCCCTTAGACCTGAGACCCAGCAAAAAAATGTATGTAAAAACCACCAAACCCCCAACCAAAAAATCAACAAAATCAGAGAAGAAAAACCAAAACAGAATTTGTTCCAATTTTGTTCATAAATCTAAATATTTTTTTCTCTCTCTCTCTTTCTTCTACTCTCTCTCGCTCTAACTCTCTCTCTCACTGTCTCATTTCTCCATATAATATGTGTGTACATAAATAAATGTGTGTGTTGTTTGGCTCGATTGAAACTCGAATTTTGCAACCAAATCAATCTAAATGTTGTGCACTTTTCGCCTTACACCACCAACCCACCACAAAAACCCACCACCAACCCACCACAAAAACCCACCACACCTAACCACTTCCATTCCCATTTCCAATGCTCCTCCTATGCCCTGCTCTCCGCCTGTTTGCCGTTTGTTTCGATCACGATTTCGATTTTGATCTGATCATTTATCATTGATTTTTTGTTTTCGATTTTCTTTTTGCTTTTGTTATATATTTATTCTCTTTCATCCCCATGCTCTCGTTCTCGTTCTCGCCCTCGATGTTCGTTTGTTTGATTGTTTGTTCGATGTATTCTTTGTTGTTCCTCCCCAAAAACCCCTTAACCTGTCCCACTCCCACTCCCACTCCCACTCCCACTCCCACTCCTACTCTCTCTCTCTGTCTCCCTCCCTGGCTTCTGTCTCTCTCTCTATCTCTGTATATCTATGTGTGTGTGCGTGTGTGTGTGCGTGCGTGCGTGTGTGTGTGTGTGTAAACCATTTATTAATCAAACAAGATCCAGGCGGCCAGCTCAATCGTCATCCGGACGCGGCGGAAACGCCAGTGGCGTCCAATTGGCGCAGGGGGACGAGGCCTACACACGCCTAGCCACCGATACCATTGAGGAGTTAGACTGGTGTTTGGATCAGTTGGAGACCATACAGACGCATCGCAGTGTCTCCGACATGGCATCACTCAAGGTACATTATCATATTATCGTATTTGTTGACCTCTATTTATCGTGTAAATCATTCGTTTTTCCAGTTCAAACGCATGCTAAACAAGGAGCTGTCACACTTCAGCGAGTCAAGCAGATCGGGAAATCAGATTTCCGAATATATATGCTCCACATTTTTGGGTAAGTTTAAACGAAGACTAGAACCTATCTGCTCTATGGCGTAGGCAGCTGAGTCGGTCCCAGAATCCAACAACAATATCAACATAGTCTTTGTCTAGTCGCAGGAGAATCCCACAGAAATTATAGGCCTTGGGGACGCCCAAAAGTCGCTCCCAAGAAACCAAAAACAGTCTTTGTTTATAAACACACAGAGAGGATATGATACCTTAAAGAACCAACAGGAATCTGCCACGTATTTAAGTAAACAACAAAAAATGTACCCCAAAAAAACTGTGGAAGGAAATAAGTTTCTGTCGTTCTTCTTCGCTTGAATAAGCCATCTAAACTTGGCCGGAATGAAGCTGAAAACTTTACGCAAAACAATTGCACAATACTAGTACGCCAGGACTACTCGTCTAGGGCCTCCATTCGAAGTGATTCGATGCGTACGCACTTGGAGCACCAGCACCAGCACAAGCACCTCAACCAGCATATTTCCAATTGTATTTACCCTTTATTTCGGATCATCATCATCAATGGAAGGGAACTATAACTATCAGCGGGTGCTCCATCCACTAAGACCCTAGCAAATGGAAATGTGCTGAAAAGTTAGTCAAGAAGTTTTGTGGCGCGGCTTTCAGCTTCAACTTTCGTTTCGTTTCGTTTCGTTTCGTTTTGCCTGCAAGTTGTTTCTAGCTTCTCCTGTTGCTGTTGTTGTAAAAATGAGGGTGTTGTTGAAATTGTTGGTGAGCGGCGCACAAAAGTATGCAATAAAATCGCATTAACCACAGTAGACGCGAAGAAGCCTCAGCGAAGCAGAAAAGTACCAGCAAAAAAAAAAAAACAATAAAACAAAAACCCGAAGCAAAAGAAAGGAAAACTCAAGCCGCCATCCATCTCCATCTCCGTCTCCGTCTCCATCAGCATGGCAGAACGGCAGCAAATTATGCGGTGGAAAAAGCAGCAGCAAAAGTTATGCAAATCATAGAAGGACCCCCAAGCAAGTCGCAACTGCAATACCGTGGACATTTTTTGGGCAACACTTAATGGCCATTCCGTACGGAGGTGCCCTGTGGCCCTGGGTTCTAGAGCGAACTCCAATCGAGAAAAGAATGCCAGAGCGCCAGCAGAGCTTCTATATCCATTATGGTATATGATAAACTGCGCAGATGTTCTCTAAGTGAAGCTAATTCCTTCTGTCGATCAGCGGCCGATTCGACCCCTGGCCACCCGAAAATGCCGGCCATAAAAAGTGAATCCTCAGCCAAAAGTCACGTACCCCACGTACAGTGGGGGGAGGGAATTACATTGAGAAATGTTTAAACTTTCGCATAGCGTTTTCCCCTGCTGTCTCTGTCGCCGTGTCTCGCCTCAGCGTTGGATTGAAAGTGCAAAATTAAATTATGCAGAGCAGCATAAAAACAGATGAAGTGGAAATTTCATTGTTTAACCTGCGAACCAAGCCCGCAAGCCGACTCCAAGTCCGAGTCCACAATCCCCAATGGCCCAATCCCGTAGCCGATCCCAGGCGCCTGCCTGCTGCCCACTTACCGCTCTTTTGTCCTGGCCAAAGCCACTTTGTGGCACTCTGTGTGCGATAGCGCATAGCGGGATCTGGATGAGGCATGCGGCATGCGGCATACGGCAAACGGTGGCCAGCGGAGAGCGGACACTGAAGCTGGGGGTGTGTACAAACAAAGGCGCCGCACCTAGGCCACCCGGCCTAGGTCGCAAAAAAGAGTTGAAAGGGAAAGAGTTGAAAGCGGAGCAAAAAATAAAAAAAAAAATGTGGGGGACTGAACGACGCTGCCACTGGGTGGCATATTTGCACATTTGTCCATATTTCTGCTTCGCTAACTTCCGAGTCCACACGGACGGTGGTGGGAGAAACAGAGACAGAGACACGCAGACAGAGAGAGAGTGAGGGGTGTGGGAGTGGGAGAGACGGCAAAGTCCTTCTGATGGACATCGTAGGGGTCTCTGGCCACCTTTCACTAGAATTTCCAGGCCTATATCTGTGCTAGTTGTTGTTTTTGTAGTTTATCAAGCATAAAATCGCATTTGGGGGCCCCACACAGACACACACTGGCACGCTGTGGCACACACACGCGCGAGGGCCTAATGTCCATTTGTAACACTTCATTTGAAACAGAAGCCCCGACCCGGCCCGGCCCGGCCCGGTCCGGTCCGATCCGATCCGACCTCGAAACCGAAGCAAAAAGTCAAAATGTAGGAAGGGACAGAGACAGATTATACTTGGGAGTGGTTCCGGCGGCAGAGGGTGCCCAAGCAGGGTGAAAGCATAGTGAAAGTGGGGGAGAAAGCATACTCGAAATACTCACACGAGTACGAGTACGAGTACGAGTACGAGTATATGCTAACCACCTGGAATCACCTGCAAGGTGAATCCGTGAGCCAACAGGAATACCAAACAGAAACAGATTCCGAATCAGATTTAAGAAGCAGTTGAATCCAAAGAGTACGAATAATAAGCGTAAGACCTGTGCGGGCGGGTGGGGGGTATTGGGGGCATTGGGGGTTGTGGGGCCACAACATATGCAAAACAAGATGCTGGCCCGCACATCAGGTGTATAACTTTTTGTTGTTGTTTTCTGTACACACATATGTCCGTGTGTGTGTATTTTTCCTGGCAAGGATAGAAGGGACCTTCTAAAAAACAACGTGAAAGCAAATGCGAAAAAGATTCTCCGGGCAGGGGCGCAAAATTTATGCGCTGTCAAGCTGATAGAGTTGCCCCATTGGACACTCTCACTCACGCCCTCACGGGACGAAAGAGCCCCAAGAAGAAAATACATATTTGGATGGGAGCCAAAAAATGTCAGCACTTAAACGTACTGCAGGGCATTGAAAGAGTGCAAAAAGATATAGTGTACGCCAGCCAATAACAAAAACATGCTCACGACATGTATGTTGTTGTTAATAACCTTCTTTCGCTTGTGCGTCTCGAGTCGAGCATTTACTTGGAGGTGGCATTGGAATAGTCTTTGGTATTCCATGGATGTTTATGATTTTTGTACACCGATTTTTATGAGTATGTTAATTGGTCAGAGCCTGGCTCTTTGGTGGATTATCCATTGATCCATTGATTGAAACTCATTCAAAGTTAGGGCCTTACTTGAGCTTTGTAAATCTATCAAATCGATTGAAGCTCAATCGGTCCCCCCCGCCCGTCGTCCTGTTGTACGCCGTGGCGCAACAGTTAAATATACGGACGAAATCTGCAAACTCGTGATGTTTTTTGTCGGTGCATATGTGAGCGGAAAACACACGCAGCTGCCACGCCCCAACGGCCCAACGGGCCACGCCCACTTGGATATCCGTGGGTTATTTATGTATGTTCTACGAGTGTGTGTGTGTGTGTGTGTGAATGTAGCCTTTCCTCCATCCGCCACAGCACTTTCTCCACCAGCAGCCGCCGAACGCAATTTGGACTTTGAAATGAATATTAATTTATTCAGAGGCAATTTTGAATTTTCTCTGTGCTAGAAAAACAAACAATTGGAAAGGAATGTGGGTGTGGGGTGTAGTCAGAGGTCAGAGGGAAAGGTTTGACCCACTAGGCAGTAAGCAGTAAGCAGTGGGCAATGGAGTTCTGTATGCAAAAGTTTTGTTTGCCGACTCTTGAATATTTACGAGTATATGGCTGTGTAAACAGACGCAAGCAGAGTCCATGGAAGATATGAGTGGAGTGGCTGGGCTGCATCCTGATCCACTTTCAGTCCGCAGTCAGTCTGTGTGGCTGTCCTTGGGTGCGAGCCTCAGTCTCAAATGGCCTGGGGTCCCGTCGCAGTCGTGTGTGCACTCCTATTTGATCGGCTGGTGATTGCTGATGATAGTACTCTTAATAAACTGTATGCTTCCTTTCTCGTTCGATTATTTGCAGACAAACAGCAGGAGTTCGATTTACCCTCGCTGCGCGTGGACGATAATCCGGAGGTGGCCAGCGCCGCGGCCGCCATCAACCAGCAGGCATATGGGGTTGCACGGGCCCGGTCGCCGCGCGGCCCACCCATGTCCCAGATCAGCGGAGTGAAGCGGCCACTGTCCCACACGAACAGCTTCACCGGCGAGAAGCTGCCCACCTTTGGCGTGGAGACGCCCAAGGAGAACGAGCTGGGCACCCTGCTCGGGGAGCTGGACACCTGGGGCATTGAGATATTCAAGATTGGCGATTGGAGCTGCAACCGCCCGCTCACCTGTGTGGCATACACCATATTTCAGGTTGGTCACGAAGCACAACTATTACAGCGCACTACAAAGTACACAACAAACAATGAACCAAGAATAGGGGTGGATTTCTCATAGATAGACCACTCCCCTATGGCATCTTTATTGTATAGTGGGTTATCCGTTCGCTTACGGCATCTTTCGACGTATCGACGATACTTTTACAGCCTCATACTTGGAATTTGTCAGCATCTTATTTCAAGATTCAAAGTAAATTCAAGTCTGAAGATGCGATCCAAACAGCCCAATAATCGTCTCGCGCAAAGTACATGCAAAAGTGATCACTTTATTAGCCCGACTAATGCTCCGTCTTTTCCATATCCTTCTCTTTCTGGCCATTACAGAGTAGAGAATTACTGACCAGTCTTATGATACCACCGAAAACTTTTCTTAACTTTATGACTACTCTGGAGGACCACTACGTCAAAGACAATCCGTTTCACAATTCGCTTCATGCCGCTGACGTGACACAGAGCACCAATGTGCTGCTCAATACACCGGCTCTCGAAGGCGTGTTCACACCACTCGAGGTGGGCGGGGCACTGTTTGCCGCTTGCATACACGATGTTGATCATCCAGGATTAACCAATCAGTTTTTGGTTAACTCAAGTGAGTATCTCTCCTGGTATTACAGATATTCTAAGATACTGATCTCGGATGGCTTGGTCTCGTCGTTTCAGGTTCCGAGCTAGCATTAATGTACAATGACGAATCTGTTTTGGAAAATCATCATTTAGCGGTTGCCTTTAAATTATTGCAAAATCAAGGATGTGATATATTCTGTAATATGCAAAAGTGAGTGGACTCTCGCATGCGATTGTGCCTATCTGTAGCCCCATTTCCATCTCCATTGTGTAGGAAACAACGCCAAACATTGAGGAAAATGGTTATTGATATTGTGCTATCCACGGACATGTCCAAGCACATGAGTCTGCTGGCCGATCTGAAGACAATGGTGGAAACCAAAAAAGTGGCCGGCTCTGGAGTTTTGCTGCTGGACAACTACACCGATCGTATACAGGTGAGCCGTACACACGCCTACGTATATCCGAGTACGTTCTTATCCAATCCATTCTCAGGTGCTTGAGAATCTGGTGCATTGCGCTGATCTAAGCAATCCCACCAAACCGCTGCCGCTTTACAAGCGCTGGGTGGCCCTACTCATGGAGGAGTTCTTCCTGCAGGGCGACAAGGAGCGCGAGTCGGGCATGGATATCAGTCCGATGTGCGATCGACACAATGCCACCATCGAGAAGTCGCAGGTGGGCTTCATCGACTACATTGTGCATCCGCTCTGGGAGACCTGGGCCGATTTGGTGCATCCCGATGCCCAGGACATACTCGATACGCTTGAAGAGAACAGAGACTACTACCAGAGCATGATACCGCCATCGCCGCCACCATCGGCGGCCGATGATTTGCCACAGGACGAGAAGATACGCTTTCAAGTAACTAAATCTCTAGATCGGATCTGAATGATCTTGGACCACATCTAACTCGAAACTCTTTCTGTTTTTCCGCCCGCAGGTAACTCTGGAAGAGTCCGATCAGGAGAACCTGGCCGAACTGGAGGAGGAGTGCGACGATGAGAGCGAGGGCCGGGCCGATGCCGGCTCCAGCACCACCACCGGCACCACCGCCACTGCGGCGATGGGTGGCGGGTCGGGTGGGGGCGGCGGTGGAGGTGGCGTCGCTCCCATAGCGGGTGACGTGCAAAATCAAGCGCAACAAGGTGGAATATGACGGAGAGTCGCGGGAATGTATCGCAGATTTACGGAAAAGGCTCAAAACCTTTTCCCACTACGTTAGTGACTATTATTAACAAACAAAAAACCTATAAAAAAAAGAAAACCAAGAAAAAAATCTTATAAAAAATACCAAAAAAAAACAACAAACAACCTAACTAAAAACAAAAAAAAACTATTAAACAAATGTTTAAAGCATACAAAAAACCAAACAGCAATAGCAAAAGTACCGTTTAACTTACAAAGCATAGAAAAACGAAAAACAAAAAAGGAAATTAGAAATTTACTTAATGGAAAAACAATGAGATTGATGTTGAAAACCCTGAAAAACACACACACAAAAAAGCTAAAGAGAAATACTAAAACAAGAACCAGAATAAGATCAAGATAAAAAAAAATATCTAAGCAAACGCTGAGGAAGATCTTATATATTCTTAACAAAACCAAAACCAAACGAAAATCCAAGACAAAGCAAAAAGAATGAGAAGAAAAGAAAACCAATTAACGCAAAATAATACTAAGATGATACCAAAACTCCACCAGACCCGAGAACCCGAGACGCGAATCCCCCAAAATATAGACGATTTTTGTTGCAAATGATCATTGTTAAGCAAATCTGAACTACTTAAGCACTAAGCATTAAACCCTCTGTTAAATCTGCTGTTAAATACGCATTAGTCTAATAAGTTCCCCTCCCGACCCCAAAATTGTTCAAACTCTGCTCCTATTTTAAACCATTGACAAAACTGAACCCAGGCCAGGAAGGCACACACACACAACCTCCCCTAGAACACCTAGATATCCATCCCCACCAGAACCGAGCAGAGCGGAACCGAAGAGAATGATACGGAAGCGGAAACGGAAACAGAAGCAGAAGTACATTTAAGCATAAGAGAAAGTTTTTAAGTTTTAATGTTTTTGCATGCCTGAAAAACGTTTATTTTACTCGATGATTCTGTTGTTTGATTACGTTAGCCAATAGCCGATAGCAGCGCATATTGAAATGATTTTATGATTTAGACAAAGCAAAAGAAGCAACCCACAAACTCACACAAAGCAAAACAAAACCAAAACAAAAACAAAAAAGAAAAGAAAAACCAATGTAAAGTGTAAGAACCCAGTGAATTAAACAAAAATTGAAAGCAAAACCGATCATGTTGAAAATGAAACGAGGATTCGATGAACCCGTGAAGACCGAAAACCGGAAACCGGAGACCGCCTGTTCGGTCTACGGCCGGACTGTAGTTGTATAGTTATTCATATATATATACATATGTATATATACACACATATGTATGTACATATATGTATGTCAATATATTTATATATATGTATTTATAAAAATATATATATAGTTATTTTTTTTTTTTTTGTAATATTATTTGTAAATAATTTAAATGTTTGACTCGAATTTAAATCAAGCAGCAGGCAAGTGTTGCCGCTAAACTAAATGAAAGAAAACAAAGCCAAAAAACATATAAAATAAAACTAAGAGGAGCAAGGATAAGGATAGGAACAGGAAGAGGAAAGGGCAGTTCAAGATGAGAAGGAATTAGTCAAAGGAAAGGAACGGAATGGAATGGAACGGAAAGAAAAACTATTGTGGGTTGCTAAAGAGTTTCCATTGCCATTTCCATTTCCTTTTTGAATTGCAATTTCAATTTGCTTCCATAAGAAGAACGATAAAGAAAGAAAGAAAGAGAGGGAGAATGTAGAATGGAGAATGGAGAGAAACAGAAAATAATGTCAAACGCTGTCTTCGCAAATATTTTTCGCTATATATTACATATATTATATTATTTAGTTACTAAGCTGAAAAACACACACAAAGTAAAAGAAATGAAACCGAAACCGAAACGAGGCAAGACACAGACCACAGACAGGAATGAAAATGAAAAAGGAGAAAGAGCATGTGGAACAGAACATGAATTTAGTGAACAATTTTACTGGAAAAACACACACAATTTACAACAAAGCAAAAGACTCTTCGACAACAACAAAATAAAATTAAAAACTAAAAAACAAACAAAAACAAAAAGAAAAACAAAAGCAAAAAAAACAAGCACAAGCAATTTTTAGTTATCGAAATGCAAAAAACCAAAAGAAAAGAACGAAAAAGTCATTGGCTATAATACCATTATTTATACCTAACCTATACGACACTCTATATAGATCTATACATACATATACATAGTATATATATATATATATATACATATATATATATAGGAAAGCTATAGCATATACGAGCATATATGTATATACATATATGCATATGTAAAGTCACGATCCTGGCGCTGGTGCGCGGATCGATCAATGTGGCAGGCCAAATTCTAAAGAGCGCATAATTTATATTGTTTTATATTATGTTTTATTGTTATTAATTTATTACCCGATTATTATCCCCGTTTTTTTCAGACCTTAGTGCTATTCTATATACATACATATATACATATATTTCTTTTTTGTGTTTAAGCGGGCAGGATCCGCGCATAAAATAGTCTTTTTTTAATACATAACAAATATATATACTATATATAATATGTGAATGAAATGAAATGAAATGGAATAGAATGGAGTACAGTGGAGTGGAAAAAAGAACCTTGATGGTCTAAAAATATCATTAAAATTATGATGCACTATTGGTGAACATATATACATATATATATATATATATGTACATATATAAACAAGAGTAGAGCTATATATATATATATATATATATGCATCCAAGAAAATTATTGTGGAAGCAGAGGACTGCGAGGATTACGATCAACTGGAATTTGTAGACGAAGTTTAAGTTGGAGCCGAGCAAAAGAATACTTTATAGCAATTTAAGCAGCATTGTAAATGTGCGCTTCAGATTTACTATTTGTCGAAACTTAATCAACCTACAGCAAATACAGCAAGATATACATACATATACCTACCTATATATGATTAATGATTAATTAATTATACAATAGTTGCAGCAACAGCAAAACGACGGCAAGTCCATGGCAAACTTAAACAAAGCAAAAGCAAAAGCAAAAACAAAAACAAAAAGCTACTTTAACAAAAAAAAATTGAGTGAAATAAATAAAACAAAGAAAAACAACAAAAAAAAGAACAAAAAAAAACCAAAACAACAAAAAATCAAATGACTTTTTTCTCTTCTCACAAAATATGAATAAAATTGAAGTAAATTGTATTTGTAATAAGTATTTTCCTGTGAGTAATGAAACTACAGCTTAGAGATCCACAGAGGAGACACTGAAACAGAACCCGATTCAGAATATAATAGAAAAGAGATATAGAATACCGATTACCGAATACCGATTACAGATCAACATATGTACATACATATATGAGAATGTGTAGTCGTAATTTAAAAGAGTATTAACCAAACTACATATACATATATATCTATTTATATGCATACATATACATATACATATATAGATACATATATAGTACATATATGCATACGCAGTAACGTACATTTGATGTATACTCGAGTTGAAACTTACTTAGCCTAACCATACATACACATATGTTGTACGTGTATTCTCTGTGTGTGTGTCTGTGTGTAATTCAATGAATTTAAAGCCCTAAAACCAAAAATCAAATCAGATCACTAAGATCTGTAAAGTGGAATGAAGCAGGAATGAAGAAACAGAAATTACAAATTATCCTAATCAAAGAACTCATCCAAAGCCTCATCCAAAACACAAAGCATCCAAGACAAGCAATTTATGGTTAGAAAAACCAATGAATCTACTAATATATGTATGTATGTCTAACTTTGTAGAAACTTGCCGAGCAAAACCGAAGGATAGTAGCAAGTTATAGGCCCCTCAGACTCAGACTCAATCCCGCTCCCCCTATCCCTATCGAAATGATAGCCTACTCAATTTCGATGGCCTCGGGTCGTGGCCAGTTTTGACTGAAATTGAATTGTTTAGTGTGTATTGTATTTTTGATTTTTGTGTTGCTTTCAAGTGCCGCAGAAATATATCAGTGTATATATCTATATTAATATACATACATACGAGCATGGAGTGCGTAGAGTTTATGTTAACTCCTTGGAGCATGTCCCATTCAAGATATTCGCATATTACTACTAACTAAACATATAGAGATCTACATACAGTGCATACATGTATACAGAATAGTACGAGTATATAGAGAGAGAGAGATCAGCATTTGTAGTACAGGTTGGCCAAATTTTTTGGATTATTTAGCCAGATGAAACCAAAATGAAAACTGTTTGTTGTGCTGTTAGCCGTAATTGAGAACTTTTTTTTGAGATAACTTAATAATAAATAACACTAAACATAAAGAGCAGAAAACCCACTTACCAAAAATGGCAGAGAAAACCTAAAAAAAAAGAGAAAAGAGGGCAAGAGATGATGAATTAATACAAATGATTGAAAAGGCATGTTTTGTACTATAATGAAATGAAAAACACCAAAGACAAAGACAAAAACAAAGACAAAAACCAAAAAAAAAGAGAGAAAAACACAAAACAAAATATACAAAGAATATACTACAAGAAATACCATTAAAATGTGCGCTGGCGACGGTTGTTAGAGGACATACCGCTTGAAATGCTGATGGGTAGTATAGGGGAGGCAGCATTTCAATCGAATGGATGAGGGATGAGAGGGTATATACATATATATAGATGGGAGATATTATATACATAGAGTTCAGGTAACGCTGGCGTTACTGGGAAAACAGTTAGGCATTTTTTTTTGTTTTTGGAAATTTATACAATTACATATACAAGGAGGCTCACAAACAAGCAACAGACATCACACACACACAAGACACAACACAACACAACACAACACCGAAAGGAAAGTGAAAGTAAAAGTAAAAGTGAAGGGGAAAGCGGAGAGCGGAAGCGGAATGAAGATAGAGATCTTAAGCTTTCCGGTTTAGAGACGAAGTGGAACCCGTCAGAGCGGAGACACGAGCATGTATGGTCAGGTCAGGGAAATATGAGCGAAATAAAATGATAATGAAAATGAAAATAAGCACGAATAATACAAAATGAAAATGAAAATGAAAATGAAAATGAGAAATTACCTACCAATGAACTTCATCAGGCGTACTAGGGCTTATCCAGGCTTAGTCACTTAAGAATACTTATAACTACAACTGGAATAAACTACGAGCATACCGATTAACAGTCTTTCTTTGTTGTACTTCGAGTATTGGTATTGTTTCGGTTTCGTTTCGCCTCTCTCAGAAAACCGTATACATATACACTATATGTATATTATATGTACATATATATGAGTAAATGTAGTTATGTGTGTATGTGCTGCGTAATCATTAATGAAGTTAAACCAAATTTACCCCAAGAAAAGAGAAAAGAGAAAAGAAGCAAAGTCATATACGAGTACATACAGAAATACATGCAAGAGCAAGTAACGTAAGTAACAATGATAACTAAGAGCAGAGGTCATTCAGTTTGCCATTAAACAGAACCTCATGTCACATGAACAGCATAAAGAGCATGGAAAGTGGAAAGTGGAAGGTGTAAGGTGGAAGGTGGAACAACAAGTGCGATACATAAAAGAGAACTACACAAAGAGAAATGAAAAATGAGAAATTAATAAATTTAAATAAATGAGATGATAATATTTAAAAATACTTTAATCGGTCGACTCTTTCATTTCCCGACATTCTGCGGGATTATTTATGGGGATGCCTGCATCTGGTATTAGAATACAGCACCGGGCGGAACAGGGATATCCGCATCCCCATCTGCAGGACAAACTCTCCAATCGCTACGCGGTACTAGTCCTCACCTCTGTTGCCTGGATCAGCCTGGATCTGGGAGGAACCGGCCCTAAATGTTCAATATCCTTATGGCCCTTCAGAAATGGTAGAGTTAGCCAGTAAGAAGGTAAGGCATACTTTCAGTCTGAGCGGTAAATATTTTCTTACAATTTATAAGGTATATTTGAGGGCATACATTAATTTAGAAGTTATGATATAGTTTCAAACTAACAATGTATGACTGTTTGGGCGTGCCATGGGCGTTCTTGTGATGAGAAAAATATTCTCCATCCTACCCAGCCATACATATTTCGTTTTTTCGGTAATTTTTGGACCAATATAACCGCACGATGGCTTTCTGTGATCGCAAAATGTCCCTGAATTGATGAAGATCATAGATATTTTCGGCTATGCAAGGATGTCGGATATCGAGGCACGTGTGCTGCGACCATAACGCCACGACTGGTTTATTTAATGATCGTTTACACTAGGGTGCTATAAGCAAAGAACAACGAAAGAGCGCAGCTCGACACTGAAGCTTTGTCGATGGACTTCAGCCCTTCAGAATAAGAGCCCTAGCTCGTCTCGTATTCCGAGAAATCATTTGCGGGGTACTCTTTGGGGGAACATGGCGCCGTTGAGATAATATTCACTGAAATACAATAAAATGTGTTCGATTACTAATTTGATCTTTATCATGGATTAATATTGCACGAGCCACTTTATTTTGTGATAAAGAACATTTTGTTTATCGATTCAGATGAAATTAAACTCGAAAAAATAACTGAGATCGATACGAGTAAATACAGTCCGCTACCTTTGAAAAATGTTTCCTAAGCATCAGATTTCCTTCCATTCTGTTCAGCTTGCGGCTATTACAGAGCAGACGCGTCACTGGAAAAGGTAGCAAGAATCGAATCATAAATTGAAATGCTAGATCTAGTATCGCTGGACAAATCGGTTGCCATAGAAGTTACCGATATGCAGAGTCCGTTTTAATTCTTAAATTGTTGTTACCTTTATTTGAAATCGATTTTTATCATCGCTATGTTGTTATACATAATTTTTCGACTATAATTTCATTTATATATTATGGTTGTTGTAGGCTTAATTAATTCATTTAAAATAAATTCATTAACAATTCGTTTGAACAAAATAGGGTTTGTTCGTGTATAATAATTAGAATAAATAATGGGAACATGCTGAAAGTTGATTCATTTGAAATTCAAGCACGGAAATCTATCTAATTGATACAGCAGCGCCAAGAAGCGGCTTTTAATTAATTTGACCAACAATGACCGGATTTTTTCCAGTTCAAGCGAATGTTCTTTACCTTCGTTTGTTCTTGTTCTTTGGGAATCAATGAAACAAACAAAAAAAAAAACAAAAAAAGTTACAAGTAAATTAATTTAAAAAAAAAGAGTTACTTCCTTGCTATGTCTTTCTCTGTAACGATTCTAAGTGCCTCTGTGGGTTGATCTGCTCTGTTTTGTTTTTTACATTTTGTTATTCCGTCAAGTTTTTGAAACTCCCTAAACTTTGGTATAATATCGTACTGATTATCGTAATTTGATGACGAATGAAATCGCCCGGCTGCTGAAATGCGATTCACACTCAATATCTTTAGAATACTCTCTGTCACAATATCATCAAAATGGATGTACACGTAATGTTTTGCATAACTGTTTTCGGTTATAGTTACATAATTCTAGAGAAAAAAAAGTATATATATATCAGATAATCTGCCATTTGCAACCCTTATAAACTGGTGTGGCGTGTGGGATGTTGTGGGGGGGGGGGGGGGGGGGGGGGAGGGGGGTGTGGCTCGTACAAATTGCTATTAGCTACAATATTGAAAAAGGCTTCGATGCCAGTGGGAGAAAGCTGCCAGTTGGGGGCTGGGCTCAATTCTCTGCATTTTGGTTGTTGTGCTTTTGGTCTCTGCTGCGGAATACCGTTCGCTAATACCGTTCTCGTATCGTTGTCTATCGTTTTCTTAGTCTCGAAACTACATTTTATATTTTTTTTTAAGATTGCAACTAACGGAAGGAGCAAAAACATCGACATTTTCAAACAGTGCTAGAACTTAAGAACTTAATAAATTGATTTGGTTGCAGCTGCAGCTCCAGGATGGGACAGGTGTGTCTCTCTGGGTCACATTATATAAGTCGTATCGCATATATGTATATATATATATATGTATCAATATCAAGGTGCAAAATTGAACACGCTCGAACACGTCCCTTGCTCGACTCCTCTCTCTCTCTATCTCTATCTCTGTCTCTAATCTGCTCTCCGCCTAGACATCGATCACGCTGTCGTTCTTCTTCATCTCCATGAGATGCGTTTGCTTGAGCTTCTCCTGCATCTGGGTGAGCATGTCCTGCATGCGTCTGATCTCCTCGTCCTTTTGCAGCAGCAGCCTGTCCGTCTCCGAAATGGCCGCATCGAATCCGTTCGTCGAGCTGATCGAGTCGCGCTTCAACTTGCCGCGCTCCCGCAGCGCATGCTGCGAGATCTGTGAGATGCACTGCGCCCGGAAGTTCTCGTAGTGCACATCCTGCAGAAGGAAAATCGAAAAGTAATCACATAATGTGCACCATGGGCACGGGGCTGTGGCTCACCTGTGTGGTGTCCTTCAAGTCCTGCATGTGCGTGGATATCAAGAAGGTGCGCAGCTTGATGAAGTCGCTGTGCTCCGGATCCTCCACATTGACCACACCCCAGGGATACTGGCGGCCGCGCACCTTCTTGCCGGCGACCTCCAGAATGGTGTTGCTGCCAACGACGGCGAACGGAATGGAGGCCTTCAGCTCGCGGTCCTGCTGCTTGAAGTCATCGTCCTCGTCGGAGTCGCATTCGGGGAACTGGTACAGCTGTATGTGATTGTCCTCGAGGTCCTGCAGTATGCGCTCCTTGAGCTTGCGCACCTCCTGCTTGTTCAGGCAGTCCGCCTTGCCAATCACCAGCACAATGTTCACCTTGCGATGCAGCCGCCTGATCAGGTCCAGATCCATCTGTCGCAGGCTGCAAGCAATTGGATTAGTTCTGCTCTTGCCACTGCCTTGGGTGCGGCGGGTCTCACCTGTGCCCCCAGGGCGGAACAAAGTAGAGGCAGCAGTGCACTCGGTTGTCCTGTATGTTGCGCCGATTCAGTCCGCTCTCGTCGGTGAAGTACTGGCGGAACTGCTCGTCGATGTACGAGGTGCACACCCGCCAGCTGTCCTCGCAGTTGATGGCATCCCCGAAACCGGGCGTGTCCACCACAGTGAGGCGCAGCCGGACGCCGCGCTCCTCGATGTCCATGGTCTTCTTTTCGACGCGGGTCGTCTTCTCGATGCGCTCCTCCACGTTGGGCATCTGGCGGTTCTTGTACAGGTCACCGAGGAAGAGGCTGTTGATGAGCGTCGACTTGCCCAGGCCGGACTCCCCGACCACCATCAGCGTGAACTCGAAGCCACGCTTCACCGACTTCCGGTGCACCTGCTCCGGCAGCGTGGCAAACCCAATGTAGTCACGGTCCTTGTCAAACGAGGGTGTCTTGGCTGCAACAAGGACCGAAAACAAAGGACACAAATGGGTTAATCGGTTGAAGGACCGCTCTGCTCCCAGGCAACTCCATGCTCCATCACTGCCTCATTAGGCAAATGCATTGCGAATCCGAATGCGAATGGAATGCAGTGGGAGGGCCTTTTAAGTGGAGTGACACTCGAGAGAGAGTCGCTCTGACTCCCGACTGCTCCACCGACTGGCTCTTTAAGCCATTACTTACACATGGCTCTAGGGAGGGAGGGGGCTCTGTTCCTGTTCCTGCTACTTGTTTTTGATAACTCTCCTAGCCTGGACTTCCCTTTCCTTGCCTGCCCTTCCCTTCCTTACGATTCGTGTGTATACCCAACCGAAGCCTACTTAAGGCGTAATTGGGGGGAAAGCCTCGCAATTTTCTTTCCTGCTTTTCTCGGTCTCTCTTCTTCTCTGTTCCTGTGGTGTGTGGCCTTTCCCGTCTCTTTTGTCTTTTCTCTTTTTGGTTTATAAACAAATTTGCAACATTGTTTCACTGTTTCGCTGTTTCGCTGTTTGTTGCAATTGAAAAAATCCCCGAGTTGAGTGAACACTTTATTGTTTTTGTTGGCAGCAGTAGTAGGTAGTAGGCGGAAGGCGAGTTGCAACTGCCAGCCAGGAAACTGCCCGAAAAGCATCCAAAATTTAATAGACCGCGCTCTCTCTGGCACTGTCACTGGCACTCTCTCTCGCTCTCTCTCTTGCTCTTAAGGATGTAACAATGAACAAGTGGCAACGCCAAATTGCAACCGCCCGCTTTTCGGGCCTCTCTAGTTCTACCCCACTATAGTGCTTAGGCACGGCACTCTCTCAGCGCCTGCGCCGCACAAACTACGACTAGTGGAAGCCCCGAAAATGTGTGCCATGCCACATGTTGGGCCTGCCACTAGGCTGGAACGGGGAGGCCAGGAGCGGTGGGTGGCCGTGCTGCCAGACAGGCGGGACAAGATCCATTTACGATCGATTCTTCCACCACAAACCATCAAAAAATCGCGATAACTTCCTAGTGTTGAGTCGGCTTGAGTTTAGTTTTGTATCCGCTGGAAGATACTTTAGGATCTAGACAGGGAAGAGTACTGTGCTCTTCCCTTTCCCGGCATATGTCAGCCCTGGTCGATTGGGATGTTGTTCACCCTGACAGGACACAGGATAAAGGGGACACACCACCCACCCCTTGGCACTCACACACACCCACACACCTAAGGGTGGCCACGGGAGACAGTTACGTTATTGTTTCCGCTCACGTACTGGCCCTGCTTTACATCTAATCGAGTTTACGGCACGCCAAGTGGGCCAAACCGGGCAAGGCAAGGCCAAGGGGAAGGGCTATCGACTCCCAGTGCAGGGTGCAGGGTGCAGGGTGCAGGGTGCAGGGCGCTGGGTGTCGACTGCTGCACCCTGTCACAACCCCTAACAAAAAAATACAAACCCCTTGAAGCACGCACGGCTGTTGAGGCGTCACGTCACACTCATCGAAGGCCTGATGGAGAAACAAAACAGGAAATCACAGGCCGGGGCGAAGGGGGTGCTGACCAAGCAGGTTCCCTCCCCATTGCGCTGGGTATCCGCGAGGATAAACATCATCTTGCAATTGCAGCGATTCGCGGGTGTAAACAAAAGATTGAACTTGTTGTTTGTTTACCCAAGTCTTGGGGCAGAGAGATAGTGGCAGTGTCCACTGGGTAGCTGCCTGTATCTGTATCTGCATCTGTCGGATAAATGTGCGAAATCGGGCTAATGGGAGCATTCACTGGAAGATTGTCATTTATAAACAAAAACGTTGGAACGCTGTGGGAACGGGGCACACTCGACTCTGCTCTTTGATGGATTGGCCGATGTATTCCACATTTTGCAGTCTGTAGTCCCCCTCCTCCTTTCTCCTCCTACACATCTGACTAAAATCTGAGCTCTCAATTCGATAAATCAGCCAGTTAGTTCTCCGTCTCCGTCTCCGTCTCTGTCTCTGTCATTGTTCTCACTCTCTCCAGCGCTAGAGAAAGATCTTTATCCAGGGGGCTCCCTCATCCTATTGTCGTTTGTTTATCCGAGGAAAAAGCTTTTGTGTGGGCGTTGCAGTTTTCATATCTCTTTCATCTTTCATCTTGCTCACACCACACCACACCCCAGCCCCCGCCAGTGGATGGATGGCCCCCACTTTGGTGCGGTTCATTGACTAGACTTATCGCTGTCAGCGTCATGGGTGGGTCTGGGTCTTGGTCTGGGGCCTTTTGGGGCGTCTGGGGTCTGAGGTCTGGGTCTGGGTCTGGGTCTGAGTCTGTGACTGGGGCATACACCAGTCCCCCACGCAAATCGTTAGACCAGGGGAGGGGAGGGGTGGACCTCAGAGAGTAGAGATGGGTTTGATGGGTGTCAAACACTTGAGCATTTATCGTTAGATCGGATTCATCGGAGGAGAGGGCCGAGGGCTGGGAAACGTTTCAACACGATCTCGATCAGCATTATGACAGACCATTTAACATATGGCGACACATCAATTCGAATCTCAGTGCCCCACTCTCTCTCTCGCTCTCTCACTGTGCATCTTTCCATGCCTCCATGCCGCTACCTCTTGTGGCATCTCAATTTCATTTCAATTAAGTTCAATTCGAGATGTGGCAAGCTCTGGAGCAGCTACAGTTCGAGTGTCTTGTTGAACGCACGAGTGCCCCAGACATAGAAAGAATCCCAGAGGGAGTTGGGGGGTGCCAGAGTGCAGAAGAATGAAGTGCCTCTCGATGCAGCCATCGAACGTGCATTGGCATCGGCATCGGCATCGGTTGGCATTGGGTTTCTGGCCAGAGTTCGGATCGGTTTGGCTTGGCCCCAGCCTCGGAGGCATTTGCTAAACAAACAAAAGGCAGGCACACGCACACATAGACACTGCAACTGCTACGAGGCATCCACAGCCAAGGGCACTCGCTTGGGCCTTGCTGCACTGTTCCATAAATAGTTGCAACACCGCTGGCTGCTCTCTGGCTGCCCGCGGCACGCTGAAAACTTTCAAACAATTGACGGCATTTGAAGTAGCTGCTGCCCAAGTTCACCTCTCCAGCCTCCTTCTGCGTCTCTTGGCACCTTTCAGCCAGTCTTCCATCCTCCTTCCAGCCATCCAGCCATCCAGCCATCGGTGAGTGCAAGGGTATACCCTTGTGAGAGAGACCTCCTATTTGTTTGTTCTGCACTATATTCCCTCTATATCACCGCCTATAGGGTGTCCCATAGTTGCCAAACATTCCCTCTACTTGCCGCATGTGAATCTCTAGGCTGGAGCGTTTTTTTGTGCGGCTGAAGCTGGAAAAATACCAAAAATATATCCATTCGAATTGGGCTTTCGATTCAATTTCGGAATTCTTTAGTTTTCCATTTAAGGCATAGAATTGTTTATGTTGGAAATGAACTCCACGGAATATACAAATACATACGGGTGTGTATTGTTCGTATTGGATCGGATCGGATCGGATGGTATGGTATGGGATGGGATGGGATGGGATGGGGGGAACAGAATCATCGTATAATCCAACACAATTGAGAAGCTCTTGTGCGTCTGATATTTTTCTGAAACGGATTTGACATTCTTTCACTTTTCTATTTCTAGAAAACAACCAAAATGTGTGCCATCCCCTCCCCAAGCCCCCCTCCCTTGCATTCAACCCCTTTCACAGTTTCCCCCAGTTCGAATAGAACAAATGTGACAGCTCTATGCACTGATTTCCCTAATTGCTATGAAAATTCCATTCCCATTTCCATTTCCATTCCGAGACTCATGCAAACGCCCCCACATTCGGGAATAAAACATCAGAAACATCAGAGAGACGAGCCAGAGCCAAAGCCGGAGAACATGTGTATTCATTTGGCATAACAATGAATGTTGGCTCTTAATGAGCTTTTAAATGCTAATAATGCTGCATTTTGAATTGCCGCTAAACAATGGAGAAGAGAAGTGCAACTGCAAGTCGGAAAATGCGGATCAAAATTGGTATTGACTCAAAACAAGCTACTTTAAACAATGCGAACATTATTCCTTTAAAAGTATCAATCAGTTCATTCGACACCGCTATCGCCTACTCCAACTCGAAGTGCTGGCCCATACGAGTATTTCCAGAAACCGTACTCGCACTCGCACAACTGAGACTCTTGTTAAATGCTGTTTATCTTATCACGTTCGGTTCTGGGCCAAAGGTATGGGCATGGGCTCTGTGGAGCTGCCCGTTCTTGGTCGGGCCGTTTAAGGCGTCCCCCTACGATCGACAGCGGCACAAATGCTCATCGAACACTAACGACATGTCAACCAGGAGTACCGTTAGCTGCGGTCACGTTGCCCCACACTCCCTTCGACATGGCCATCGCCAGTGCCCCAGGGCCGAGCGATCTGCAATTGGGTGCGGCTGCCGCCAGCTAGAAAGTAAGAAAGGAACGCCGCTGCCACCATCGGGGTATACTCTTACAGAACTTCCAGATACCCTCCAACAGTGATATTGAATATAATGAGACCTCTGGGCGTTACAAACAACCGATCACAATCGAAGTGCCTTCCGCAAAGGGTATACGAAAAATAAAAACAAAGTCTACGCCCACCAAAAATGGGCCGTTGCCTTTGAAGCTTACAACTCCAAGACCCAGCAGAGGCAGTGGTAGCAGAGCTAGAGACAGAGACAGAGCCCAGACTTCAGACTACAGACTGCAGACCCCAATCCACAGACCAAGTACAAGACCACGTCTAAAAGCAAGGCGAAAGCGAAGCCAAAACGAACAGATACAAAACAAAACAAAAAAGGAAAGGAAGTTCGCGGCGACTTTCCATGTTTTTTTGCTTGATTGGAAATGGTTTGGATTGGATTGGGAAAACGGCTGCCGTAAGTAGCTATTGCCCCTGAAGCTGAAGTGCGTCCACCTAATCTTAGGGAGATCAGATCCCATGGCCAAAATACCTACAGATCATCGATAATATCAATCCGATGGCAGGAGAACTACCGACATGTAGACCCGTTTTCCCCGAGCTCTTGAACTATTTTGGCCTTCTGTAAGCTGCAACAGGAATCTGGCAATTCCTGTTGCTCTCCTCCTTGGCCTGCCCATTGGGCCCCCTGGTGGTGGCGCCCTTGAAGGGATTTACTCACGTTTTGGGTAGAGGGGTGGGCGACATTTTCCTGCCTCAAAGCTGCTGCCACGGCTGCTGCTGATGTTGTTGTTGTGATTGTTGTTGTTGTTGTTGGCTGGTTGAATGCAACTGCTGCTGCTGGTGGCACTGTTGTTGCCATTGAGGCTGCTAATGGCATTGGCCACTATGCTGCTGCTTCCACTGCTGCTGCCAGAGACCCCACCAACCCCGCCGCCACTCAGCGATGGGGGCTGCGTTAAGGGCAGCGGAGGAGGCGGCGGCTGGTGTTTCATTGATGTTGATGACACATTGCCGCCGCCGAAGAGGCGACGCTGCTGTAGAAACGCCGTTTTGTCTGGTTTTTCTGTTGCAAATGTTGCAGTTGCAACTTGGTGCTGGTCCTAGTGGTGGTGTTGGTGCTGGTGGTGGTGCAGTCGCTTTTACTGCGCTTCTGCTGCTGCCACTAGGCGACGATCGGGTCCATTAACTAATTATTTCAACTGTTGAACCGTTATTTACGGTTGCGCTTATCTAGCTCTGTGCTTATCGCTCTCGTAGGTGACGGAATCTGGTGCTAATAGATAGACTGAGAGAGAGAGAGAGGGAGAGAGAGAGTAGTTTAAGAGAGCTGGCGATTGCAAAAAAAGTCAAAGCAATTATTGACTTTTACGGTTTCAATGCAAGAGGGTGAAGAGAGAGGACTAGGAGTACTCCGTTTTATGTGTGGTTTTGTTCTTTCTGTTTGTGTGTGCATATCCTGCTGACACACTGATTGAAAACTGCATATTCAATGAGCGCGTGAGAAGAGGGGCTGAAAAACTAACGGTGCTTGCAGGCAGCTGCTGCTGCTGCCTCACCTTGACCTACACGAACACTGGGCCCAAGAGAGATGCGCTTGCATTTGAAATGTGCAAGCCAAAGCGAGACAGCAGACACACAATGACAGTCACACACACACGCACAGAAAGCAAATAGAGACAAGCACTGGCAATACAAACGAAAAACAAGCAAAATATATTAATTTACACGCACATCGTTATTAACTATTTCCGTTGCGGTTTCAATTTGCGTTGCGATGGTGCGCGTTGGCGCATTTTTGTTGAAAAAAAACGAGAGCCGACCCGCGGCAAGTTTCAAAGCAGTGTGACCGCGGACTTGTGACAAAAAATATACCTTCTGTCCCTCAGAAACATACCGAAATATACCGTCTCTTTTTAAAAATATACTGTAAATATACTGACGAATTCAAGTTATATTTTACATATGCCTCTTTTTTGATCTTCCGTGGAATATTACTGGCTATATAAAACGTTTTGCATTGCCCACATAATTTTATATGATTTAATAATAATATTTCTACTTAACTGGCTTATTCTAAATACTTGCTTTTATTGCATTTTGGGTAAAAAAAAGGTTTTAGCGAAAATGGTCAAACAAATGAAACGTAATAAAACGAAAGAGAAAAATCGTTCCAATTGCTCAATTTCTTTATTCCGTTAAATAATGCTGGCTAACTAAAACCTTTAGCTTTGCCCACATAATTTTAAGCCGTTGATGAATAAATTGTCTACCAGATTAACTACATTTAAGTACTCTCTTTTATTGTATAGTGTAGACAACAAGGTTTAAAGAAAAACGGTCAACAAAAAAACAGTGGCAACGTAAGTGAGTGTGAAATTTCGCGCCAACCGGAGCTTGGGCACAGGTATACCCTATTTCGTTTTCCAAACTGTATTAAAACGTAATTAATATAGAAATTATCTCAGATTGTTATGTTTTGGACATTTTAATGCATATGATTAGGGTTTTGAAAATATATCTCGATCAAAATATCGTTGAAATAGCTTTTCAACAGAGACTGAATAGTTTTGGCCTTTATTGGTGCATTAGATGACAAACACTCTCTCAGTTCCATAATATCCATTTCCCAGGGTATGCAAAATGTTGCTCAATTCGTGCCATGTTGGGGAACAATGCTGCTCGTTTTCACGGCACATGAGTCTGGCCCATACAAATTAATGTTGCCAGCAACATATAACGTAAGAAAACGTAAGTTTGGATGCAATGCGCCGTAAGTGAGTGCGGAATGTAAGGGACATTGTTAAGCTCAAAGGACATTGTATCCCGGAAAAATTCCCACAACTTGAGAAAAATTCCCACCACAAAATAGAGAGTAAGTCCCAAAGAAAAGATAGCAAGTCCCAATAAAATATAAGGTCTCACTCTAAAAAATACCGAAAATGTATCATACTCCTCGTTTCCTTTTATTATTATTATTATTATTCCTTCGAATAATTCTGGCTAACTAAAACTTTAAGTTTTGCCCACATAATTTTAAGCCGTTGATGAATACATTTTTTTCAAGATTGGCTAGTTTTTAGTCGTTGCTTTTATTGCATTTTGGCTAAAACAAGGCATAAACAAAATAGTTCACCAAAGATACACTCGCAATGTTGCTGGTATTTGAAGACATGATGCGTGTATAGGAATTTTTATACCCTATTTCGTTATTTTTATATGAAGATATAAGGTAATTTATTAAGACCTTTTCTCAAATTGATATTCTTTAGACATATTCAAGTACATTATTAGTATCTTGTGTATATTTATCTCGATCCTGATACCTACAGAGCCTTGGATGACAAACATTTTCTCAATTCTATAACATTACTTTCCTTAGGGTATGACAATTAATGATGCCGGTAATCATTGTTGTCAACCAGTTATGACGACTAATTCCTGGTTATTCTTTCTTCCGTCGAATATTCCCAGCTATATAGATCGCTTAGTTTGGCCCAGATAATTTTATATGACTGATGAATCAATTTTAATCAGGATTAACTACTTTTAAGTACTTGCATGCTTTTTATTTTGACAAAAACATGGTTTCAACAAAAATGTTCAATAGTAGCAGGTTGTTACGTCAATGTTGCTGGTATTTGCAGACTAATTTGTGTTCAACCAGGCTATGGGCATTTTTATACCCTATTTCGTTAATATTATTTTAAGATACTGTTTCCCAAGCTGCTTTTAAATGTAATTAATAAAGGACTTGTGTTAGATTGCATTTTTAAGGTCTATTCATGCATTTGATTAGGTGTTTGTATATAAATCCTGATCCCAGTACCAGTTCTTAGGCTCTGTAAGAAGAATACTTATTGCAAAATATCGTTTAAAACGGAGACTGATTAGTTTCTGCATTAATTAGAGCCTGGGATGACAAACATTGTCTCAGTTCTATAATATCCTTTTCCGCCAGGGTATGTGATCATGGAATTAGCAACATGTTTGTGAATGGAAATAGTCTCATTGTTGTCAACCGGTTATTACCGATTCATACCCGATTCAAATAAATACCGAAATATACGGTCTCATTTTCAAAATATACTGACGAATTATACATATTCCTCGTTTTTGATATTCCGTGCATTATAACTAACTTAATAGAACCCGCAGACCTGCCCAAATAATTTTATCCGATTAATGAATCAATTCTCTACCCGACTGTCCTATTCTAAGTACTTGCTTTTATTGGATTTCTATATACCGTTGAAAATTATATTTTACGAAAATGTTTGCATACTCTTTGCAGAGCTGGTTCGAGTTCGGTTCCGTTCCGAAACTGATTCCGCATGCATGATATCGATATGTTCTGTACTGCTATGGAGGGCGCCTGTGTTGAATTTAAATTTGAAACATGAATTTTTCATTATTCTGCGGTTTTTTGTTTGCTTTGCTTTGCGACCAAAATTAGTTGCAATTAGCTTTTTCCATGGCCAATCATAATTAGCCGCTTTAAAAGCCAACCAAAACTCATCCCCATCCCCCCTTTGGGGACACTAACACACTTTTTTTTGTTGTTTTTGGCTTTCTTGCAAATAATCACGCTTTTAAATTTTATTGCTGTGGCGCGCTGTCTGTTTGGGGTCCCGCTTTGTCTCCTTGTTTGGAGAGAGCGTTAGGGGTTACGAGAAGCGTGCTGGAATGTGACTCCAGAGTGGGGAGCCGGGACTCTGGCTGGGGATTTGTTTAGAGTCTCATTAGTGACGCGCACGATGCGATTTCGTTGTTGTTCTCCTACAGTGGACTTGTGGAGTGCAAAGGGGTGTTATGTGTTTTTGCGACAGTTTGGCATGGGAAGGAATTCTGGTCAAATGAGCCTGGAAATATCTTTTTAACCACTGCAGATCTACCTTTGAAGAATTTCTAGTAAATAGCTATCGTTAAGTAATTGTTTGTTTCAAGGAGGAGGTGCACATTTTATTATCCCAACGCCCCAACTGTGTGTTGTCAGTCTATCTGTCTGCGCTTTGGATTGAAATTGGATTTATTTGGGTGCGGTCGCAAGGGGGTAAGACGGAGTGGAGTCGTTTCTGCCAGGAGATGCTTTCACATTTGCATTCAGTTTTTAATTCTCGCTTTTTGGTTTTTGGGTTTTCGTAACTGAAATTTTTCGTTTCTAAAATTCGTCATTCGTTGACACATCCTAGTCGACTCTCTCTGGCTCTCTCTGTGTCTATGTCTCTCCGTTTCTCCCTAATCATTCCTCCCCAGCCCCCACTGCCGGCGAAGATTGCGTGCTCCATCATTAGTGCCGTTACTTTATGCTCTTCCGTTTTGGTATTCAGCTTTTGCTTGTTCTTGCTCTCTGGCTCTGCTGCCGCTGCTTTGCTCTTCCGCTCTTCCTTATTCTTTGGTTTGCCCTCCATTGTTGTTTGCACCCTTCCAGAGGGTATGACGATTTTGCAGCGCCATTAAGTGAAAAGTGACACGACCCTGTCATGCCATATCCTGTACCTATCCATAACCTGCAACTACAATTATAATAGTCAATTCCTCACAGATCACATTTCATTCTTTCCTTTCTATATACATGAATTTTAAGGTACTGAGAATATCCAACAATATTCAAATAATTCCTATAGCTGGTCTATGCCCATGTTAGGCGAAATTTCGCTACAAATCCTATGACTAATGGCTTTGGTAGTGCAGCTTGTACTTCGGCAGCCGAGGGAAGTGTTCCGCCTGGCACAATGTTGACAATTAAGTTAAACTTGTTTTCCTACTTCGTTTCGTTTCGTTTCGCCAATTTCGTTGTTCTTCCCCCGTGGATGTGGGGGCCAGCTCTGCCGTACGCCTGCCCTAAGCCCCCCGCCAATGTCTGGTCTCCGTTGCTGGGCTGATGATTATCAAAGTCTTGTCGTCTGTGGCTGATGTGGCTGATAATTATGTGCCCCCTGCACGAACACGGCCACGGACACGGGCACGGACAAGGACCCGGACAGGGTCTTGGCCTCATCTTTGGAGAAATAAGGAATAGAGATAGGGAGCGAGGGAGCGAGGGAGAGGAAGACGGGCAGAGAGCGAGGGAGCTGGAATTTTGGCATTGTCTGTCTTGACCCACGTTGGCCATTTTGCCGGCATTTCTTTTATTGTTGACGTTTTGTTAACTTGTTTTTTCCTGTGTGACAGCGGCACCCTCCCGCGCGGCCTGGGCCTGGTCCTGGGCCTGGGCCTGGGCCTTGCCTCTTGGCCCTTGCCTCTTGTCGCTTGAAGAATTGTCGTCGAAAATTAAATAAAATTAATTACCGCGTGTGTGTTTGTGAGTGGCAAAGGAAGAGCCTGTGAGAGAGACAAGACAGCGCGACATTGCCTTGCGCCTGCCTCGGCTGGTTCTCCACTTTGTGGGACCCCCACTTTGGGGGTCGCCTCTCCAGTGACGCGTGCCGCTGGATTCACGCGCGTGTGCGTATGCGGGGACGTCAAGAAGCCGCAAGAAGCCGTCCTGTCACAGTGGCAGCCACAACACCAATTTCCGCCCAGACTTGAAGCCAGGCAGATCGCCGATGATGGATCACAAGGATCTTTTCCAAATAAAACATAAATGCTGCAAGTAAAGTGTATGCTGGATCTTGGGACCATGGCATAGATGCTTCAAATATGGCGTACCGGATTGATCAAAGCCTCTTGCTAAGCTTCCTCCTGTTTCTGTTGCTGTTCTCTGTGCCACACTGTGCCCCAAGGCGAGAGCGTGTCGACGGCATCTCCATCATCATTATCAACAGTTGCCATTCGGCTTTCTGGTGGGGCACTAAGGCATTAGTGGTGGAATCGGG